TCCTCTTGAAGACCCCCAGGGTAGGGGAGAGCACCACCTCCCTTGGGAGCCCATTCCAGACCTTGGCCACTCTAACTGTGAAGAAGTTCTTCCTAATGTCCAATCTAAATCTGCTCTCTGCTAACTTGTGGCCATTATTTCTTGTAACCCCCGGGGGCGCCTTGGTGAATAAAACCTCACCAATTCCCTTCTGTGCCCCCGTGATGAACTTATAGGCAGCCACAAGGTCACCTCTCAACCTTCTCTTGCGGAGGCTGAAAAGGTCCAGGTTCTCTAGTCTCTCCTCGTAGGGCTTGGTCTGCAAGCCCTTAACCATATGAGTGGCCCTTCTCTGGACCCTCTCCAGGTTATCCTCATCTCTCTTGAAGTGCGGTACCCAGAATTGCACGCAGTACTCCAACTGCAGTCTGACCAGTGCCTGATAGAGGGGAAGTATCACCTCTTTGGATCTATTCGTCATGCAGGACTATACCTATTCATTGGAGGACTATATCTCTTCTGAAATAAGCCACAGCATGTACAGACATTTACTTTCCCAGAATAAAGTCTCCTAGGAGTGATTTAATCTGGTTGTTCCCAAGTTATTTCTCTCCCGGAGCAGCCATTTTTACTCTGGGAAACATCTTTACACTTGTGGTTTCTCCTGAGGGACCAGTGACTTTCCAAGAAGAAAATGAATATCTGTATAAAGCCACAACCTGAACCTGCATTTGAAGGAATAGAACCATTTGGAAAAGTAATGGAAGGCGGGGGGAGCCTCCAAAAAGACTGATATAGAAGGAAATGGAGTCATGAGGAGAAACAAATACTTGATCTGAGCCTTCAAGAGGCTGAGAAGTGATTTACTTTTACTAAAAATGTAAAGAAACCTGTGTGAGTAAAACAGGAATGCCAATTCACTCGGTAGAACACAAATACTTAGAAAATTGAGGAGGGGCACTCCAAACAATGAAAAAGTCCCTGGAAAAATGGGTGACCTGAGAAACAGGATTAGATGAAATAAGATTTGCTTGCTTGGTAGCTCAGGAGATACTAAGCCCTACAAAATGGAAAAATATTCAGACTCCATAGTCTGATTACTTTCCAAATAAAAGAAAATGTATTTGCTCATTTTGACAGAGCAGATAGAGGGTTCTCTGCAAGGAACTTAACCCCCATGAGAAACCAAGACCTACTCTATTACTCAATTTCCTAAACGCCCACATATTGAAACTGGATTTATGATAAGGTAGAAAACCTAGGAGAGCCTGCTCTGTGCCCACCTAGTTTGGAAATCTAGACCACATGGTGCATCTATGACAACATTACACATAAATTGTATGATCAGAAAGTATATTGGCTTATATGTAGCTTGGTTGAAACTGGCATACTGCTCTTTATACCCTCAAAAGACACCTGTCACAGGTGTCATATACCACAGTCACAGGTGAACAACATATCAGAACTCAGTAACAAGTATTCCAATTAAATTCTAGCAAATAGTTAACAGGGAGCCTTGTAGTGAACTAGTATTGAACTAGTCTGTATAATTTCTTCTTTTACTATTTTAATTTCTCTGATCAATACACTAAAGACTTTCCACTAGTGTTTAGAAGACTAGTGTTTCATTTCTTTTTTTTTTTTTTTTTTTAATTAAACTGTCCTGATTGATAAGACAGGGTATGGTCCCTTAACCATAGTAAAAATCCACCAAATCAACAGTAATATGTTGTTATGGAGAAGAATCTACAGTCCAGGTTTAACCACAAGTAACCAGAAACTCTCTCAACTTGAGGAGCAGATCTGAAGGTCAGGAATTTAGTGCTTAGTTATGTCTCCGCAGAGGCACGGACCTGCTGTGAAAGGGATGGAGTGCACTGTCTAAGTAGCTATAACAACAGGCACAGATCCAATTTATGTGGAGGTAATTAACCTTTGGAAAAGCTATGTTGGGGTGGAGTGGATTCTCCATCACTTGATCTGTTTAAATCAAGACTTGATTTCCTTCTAGAGGATATGCTCAATTAAAACTTATGGGTTTGATGCTGGCACCACCAGGTGATGTTCCGTGGTGTGAACTGTGCAGTAGATTAAACAAAGCAAAATGATCCTGCCTGACCTTAAAAGGCAGTGAGTAAGCGGGGGTGGCTGGGGAAAGGAAGGTAAAGAAATGCGATCTTAGGAGAAATCCAAATTTACTTAAATAGCACACAATTCAAGCAATTCCTAAAGTACAAAAAATAAATTACCACTTCACAAGTATAGGTTAAATGTAACAGAGGAAAATCAATTATTTGAAGCACTGTTAAATGAGGAATTTTATAACATTTCATAAATGAACAAGAATGTGACATGTTATGGATCTAGATGGGATTTTCAAAACGGCTTCAGAGAGTGTGGTTCCCTGGCTTTAAAGAAACCTAATGGATTGGGTGTCCAAATCACCTTGGCTGTCGATGAAAGCCCTTGTGGCCCTTTTGAAATCCTATTCCTGATATCAACATGTGTCCATTTACAGGAAGGTGTGTATATGTGAAGTCTGCAAGATTGGCCCCGAATTTTACGTAGGCAAATTTTAAATTTCTTATTAAAAAAAAAATCCCATTGACATGCTTTGGCCCTAAGAAAAGGTCAAACTCAAAAAACCCGGTTTGTATCAGTTGCTTTATTCCTAAAAAGGGAAATTGTGACAAATTGTAGTGGAATTTTGGTATGTAAGTGGTTGTCAGGTTCTTGCCTAGCACATAGCTAATTTCATTCATGGAAATTAATATATGTAGATTTTAAAGCTGGGCCTATCTAGTTTGACCTCATACATAATACAGGCTACTATCCACTTACACGTATAATGAGCCAAGTATGTTGGCTTGATTATATCAGATGATTGAGAAAGGGATCTAGTCTTAATTTGAAGATTTCAAGAAACAAGGAATCCTTCACATGCAAAGGTTAATTATCCGCAGTGGGCACATTTACACATGCCCCTGATTGTGCAGTTGGTACTGCACAGTCATTTAGTACTTGCTTTAAAAGTTGGTACTTCACAGTCCTGTAGTGCATGGGTTGTTTTTGACCTTACCACACAGTAGCAACGAGCTACTGCACATCATGATAGCACCCACCGACGCCATGGTGATGTAGCATTTCATGTAGACACACCCAGTCTTACCAATCAGGACAGGTTTATGTAAAAACACAAAAAAAGAGAAAGAAAGAAATGAAACAGAGAGTGGTGGTAGATGGGTCGGTGTCAACCTGGAAAAATGTGTGCAGTGGAGTCCCTGAGGGCTCAGTTTTGGGGCTGGTGCTGTTCAATATTTTCATCAATGATCTGGATGAGGGGATGGGAAGCACCCTGTCCAAATTCATGGATGACACAAAAATATGGGGTGAAGCTAATACCCTGGAGAGGAGGAACCAGATCCAGGCTGACCTAGACAGGTTGGGGAAGTGGGCAGAGAGCAACAGGATGCAATTCAATAAGGACAAGTGCAAGGTGCTGCATCTAGGGAGAAGGAACTGCCATCATACCTATAGGCTGGGGGGCGACCTTCTCAGCACCACTGAGGCAGAAAGAGATCTTGGAGTCACTGTTGGCTCCAGAATGAACATGAGTCATCAATGTGATGAAGTAGTCAGCAAAGCCAATCGCACCTTGTCGTGCATCCATAGGTGCTTCACAAGCAGGTCCAGGGAGGTGATTCTCCCTCTCTACGTGGCACTGGTCAGGCTGCAGCTGGAGTACTGTGTCCAGTTCTGGATGCCGCAGTTCAAACGGGATGCGGACAACCTGGAGAAGGTCCAAAGAAGAGCCACTCATATGATTGGAGGCCTGCAAGGAAGGCCCTATGAGGAAAGGCAAAGGGACCTTAACCTCTTCAGCCTCTCCAAGAGAAGGCTGAAAGGGGATCTTGTGCCAGCGTACAAATTCATAAGGGGAGAGCAACACGAAGTAGGCAATGATCTGTTTACCAGGGCACCCCCTGGAACAACAAGGAACAATGGCCATAAGCTACTGGAGAGGTTTAGACGGGACATTAGAAAAACGTTCTTCATGGTCAGGGTTGCCAGGATCTGGAATGGGCTTCCAAGCGAGGTGGCACTCACCCCATCCTTGGGAGTCTTCAAGAGGACACTGGACAGGCACCTGACTGGGATCACATGATCCCAGGTTTGGTGACCCTTTTCTTGCCTGCCAGGGGCAGGGGGTCAGACTAGATGGCCCACTGAGGTCCCTTCTGACCCTAAACTCTATGAATCTATGAAACACTAGTACAAAAAGAGGCTAATCAAGAGCGAGGGTCAGTCTTCTCTTGTCTCAGGTGGCTGGGATTAGAAAACCTTAAATTGATATGCTCTGGTTTTGGTATTTCTTTTTTTTTTTAAATGGAGGTTCTAAGGTATGTTTGGGGGATTAAAAGAAGCTATGATGTAAAGTATGTGAAGACAGATAGAAAAATAACATCCCAACTCCAGTAAGTCTGCATTATAGAAGTAATGAATCACACAACATTGTGAATGAGAAATACTTCCCCTCTTCCCTATTATAACCCACCAGATGGACTTAATACACAGAGCAATGGGGAGAAAAAAATCTATAAACAAGGGAAATCATCACATGTTTACAAATACAAAAAAAATCATTATGTATAATATGTACACTTTCTTTACACTTTCTGGACTACTTAAGAGAAAGCAAATGGAATGCAAACTTAAATGGCACAGAATATATTCTTGTAAAATGCACATTAAATGTGGCGTGACTGTCAAAAAAATTGTGGAAATTAATATTAACAGCTTTATTTCATTGCTTCCAATGCTACAAAACAGCAAGTAATGTGCATACGATCATTAGACAATGCTACAGAATTATGAACCACATGTGAGTATGTTTTTAGAATCAGGTAAACAGATTTATTTTTTAGAAATACCAGCAACTGAAGCATTCATTCAAGCTTCCTGAGACTGTCAAATTAGCTTGGGAATTACAAAAGCATAAGTTTAGTGCAGAAGTTTCAAAGCAGTTTGAAACTACAGATCACTGTCAGTCTGTGAAGCATATGCTTGTGGTCCACAGAGAACTCAGCACTCCAATGCAGCTCTCTTTTCCCTTAGCTTTTAACTAAGAAAGAAAAAAAAAAACCCAAAACAGTACACTACATACTTTCCTAATATTGCTTCTCTAGCAGCTACTTTAATTATTATCACAGGGATGTTGCACAATTATGAATGGGTGTTAAAAGCTATTTGCAAAATCAACATAATGAATGACAGGAAGCGTTGAAATGCCAATTTCAACATTCAATTGTGATTCACATGGAGTTCATGTCCAAAAAGCTGAAGGCTTTGTATTGATTCCATGTTGATGAAATCAAAAAACTGGAATCACCGTCTCCGTATGGCTCTAAAAAAACCTTGTTAGTCTAAGGAAGAAATAAACTAAAAAGACACACAGAAATTCAAGGAAAAGGCAAAATCTAAGTTGTTTTTTTTAAAGTTTTTATATTAGCATCATTTAAGAAAGGCAAGGAAGAGGATCTGGGTAACTACAGACAGGACAGCCTCACCTCAATCCCTGGAAAAATCATGGTAAAGACCCTTAGGGAAGCACTTGGAGGAGAAGGTGATTAGGAACAGTCAGCATTGATTCACCAACAGGCAAGTCATGCCTGATCAACCCAATTGCCTTCTATGATGAGGTGACTGGCTCTGTGGATGTGGAATATACTTTGATTTTAATAAAGCTTTGGATACAGTCTCCCACAACAGTCTCGCAGGCAAGCTAAAGAAGTCCAGGATGAATGGACTGTAAGGCAGAGAGAAAACTGGCTGGACCATCAGGCTCAAAGGGTAGTAATCATGGCCTGAAACCTACTTGGCAAATGGTATAAAGTGGAGAGCCCGAGAAGTCAGTCGTGGAGCTGGTTTTATTCAATATTTTCATCAACACCTGGAAGATGGCACCCTTAGCAAGTTTGCAGATGACACCAAGATGGGGTGAGTAATAGATATGCTTGAGGGTATGGCTGGGATTCAGAGAGCCCTAGACAAATAGGAGGATTGGACCAAAAGAAATCTGGTGAGGCTCAATAAGGACAAGTGCAAAGTTCTGCACTTAGGATGAAACAATCTCAGGTACCGGTGCAGCTGGGGGCTGACTGGCTAAATAGCAGCTCTGCAGAAAAGGACCTGGAGGTTACAGTGGACAATAAGCTGGATATGAGCTGACAGCGTGCTCTTGCTGGGAAGGCAGCTAATGGCAAACTGGGCTGCATTTGCAGGAGCATTACCAGGAAATTGAGGGAAGTGATTCTTCCCCTTATTCGGCACTGGTGAGGCCACATGTCGAGTACTGTGTTCACTTTTGGGCCCCCCACTACAGAAAGGATGCAGACAAATTGGACGCAGTCTAGTGGAGGGCAATGGAAATGTTTATGGGGCTGGGGTACATGACTTAGGACAAGAGGCTGAGGGAACTGGGCTTATTTAGTCTGGAAAAGAGAAGGTTGAGGGGAAATTTAATAACAGACTTCAAGTACCTGAAGGGGGGGCTCCAAAGAGGATGGAGTTGGATTGTTCTCAGTGGTTGCAGGAGCAATAGGCTCAAGTTGCAGCAGGGGAAGTTTAGGTTGGATATTAGGAAAAACTTTCTCACTAGAAGGGTAGTAAAGCACTGGAACAGGTTACCCAGAGAAGTTGTGGAATCTCCATCCCTGGAAGTTTTTAAGACCTGTCTAGACAATGCCTTGGCTGGGCTGATATAATTTGGGTTGGTCCTGCTTGGAACAGGAGGTTGCTGAGGTCCCTCCAAACCCTAATTGTCTATGATCTTTGGTTGTTAGCTAGTTTCTGACAGCATCAAAGAGAAAGTGATGAATATCCTTAAACCTCAGTTTCCGTACCTGTCAAATGGGAATAACACTTCTTTTCTCTCTCTCTCAGTGGTGTTGAGTCATTATGACATGCTCCAAGATCCTTGGAAAGTGTGACAGTATCTTTCTTGTCATATAACACCTTTAATTTAATTCTGGGGAAAACACTGTTTTTTTGCTTAGTACTGCTACTTTTGGCACTGGGTGAGATGCAGGTGAATAAAATAGAAGAGAGTTGAGGAAGATTTATTAGACTTCTCTTACTCTCTTATCCACAGGGCTTTGTTTTACCCATGATTGTTTTAATATTTGTACTTTCCCTTTTATTTTTCTCATTTTTTACAGATGAAGAAGTGTGAGATACAGAATTCACTTGCTGTTTGTTCTCATCCAGATTCAATGTACAGCCTTCTTGTACTTGCCCACCGCTTCTTATTGAAGTCACTTCCTGTCAAGATTAAATAAAAAATAAACAAAGCTGGCCCTAGAAGTATTCTCTGATTGATAAGTTCCATTACAATAATTCCCTTCATGCCATGAAATAGCATTTTAATGATGTCCAAAACTTTATTTAAAAAGGCAAAATCGGACCGAACACCCTTCCATAATTGTACATACCCACATCTTTGACTTTCTACTGCATTAATAATAGACTGGTATTAGTTTTGAAATAGAATGGCTCATTAATTTTTCACCTTAAGCTTAATGGAAATTTGACAAACAGTTTTATGCTGAGAATAGACACTCCAAGCAGGACTTTACAGCACACTATGAAGCTTAAATTATGGCATAAAAGACGGAATAAAGTGCATGTGGTTGGATAAGATGGTTCTCTTGTTCAGTCGCCTAGAATGCAGAGTGACTTTGATGCATCTCTGACTGAGGTATTTTCCCATTTATGTATTCCTTGCATTGTCCCTTGACAAAAACTTGATCTTTTTATTAGTCCTGTTGAAAATCCAGCTGCCTAAGTGAAAAAAAAAAGCTGTGACACATTACAAGAACTAGCATTTTCAAGAAAAATGCACCCCGATTTTGCTGACTGATTCCACAGTTGTTGGGTTGCCACTGCTGCCTTGTCTGTCTTGTGGCATGTCCCCCTCACTTATTTGTTGCATTTACCTGCTCTATGCTGGAAGGGTCTGTAGAGACCTTACAAAACAAGACCTCAGCTCCTGTCTAGGGCTTCTGAAAAATAAATATAATTTTATTATTATTAGGTACAATATTTTTTCCTCGGTAGTAGCTTTTGTCAGTCTCAGCAAGTACAATTTACATGCTGTCACAGCAAGTGCTACTTTTAATATTGACATTGCTGCCTACTTGAAAAAGTGTCCTGTCAGTCTTTCAATTAATGGTGATGGAAGAAAACAGCTCACGCTGTCAGACTTCTCGGGCATCTGTATTGTAGACATGAGGGTGCCTGCACACAAGCCCAGAGGCTGCCCCGATGCACTGTAATTACAGCGTGTTGGAGCAGACCCAATTACTCAAGCTTGCTAAAGCACGGTAATTACCGCGCTCCAGCTAGCATCTGTGTCTCATGTATCAGCATCCCTGTGCTTTAAAATGGCGGTGGGAGAGCTTTATCTTAAGCTCGTCAAAGGAGCTTTAGATAAAGTGCCCCCCCTCCACCATTTTGAAGTGCAGGGATGCTGATGCACAAGATACTCCAGGCAATTTAATTAGAGAGTCTCCAAGAGCCACTCTAATTAAAGTGCCCTCCTCCCTTCCCCCCCCCCCCCCCACACACACACACTCCTGGAGCACATGTAAAAATGCCCATTAGTAATAGTATATATTTACATTTGTGTCTGATTCTGCAACGCTGACCTAGTGCTTCCTCAAAGCAAGACTTCCTCATGAGACTAGCTCTACTGACTTCAGTCACATTTCTATATTGGCTTCAATGGCAATGTTTGGGTGAGAATGAGAATGAGCTACTCCACATGTGCATAGGGTGCAGAATTAGGTCCTCACAATTTCATGAAGCTCCTTGATTCAAATCTAATCGGACCTCTTATAAAAAAGGGGCTTTTCTGTTATAACTTGGAAAAGTCAGTTTCCGAGCTGGGATTGAGAAACTTTTTTTCTTTTAGAACCTCTTACAACATGGAAAAAGAGAATTAAATTGATATAGGCTGCCTCTCCAATCTGCTCTCTCCTCTAAACTGGGGAAGAGGAGATGGAGCCAGGAGTGAAAGAGTACTGTTTCTCTCCTAGATCTGTAGGGCTGGGAAAATGTGGGAAAGCCTCATAACTTTTTACAAAACAGAGAAACTGAGTCCATGGAAACCACGTGTGCTTTTCTGCGTTTATAAATATAGTCAGATGGAGGGGGTGACAGCTTGCCCATACACCTTGTATGGAGAGTGTACCTGGCTGCTTGATGTGGGGTGCATGCAAGAAGCAAGGTATATCAGAGAGCCCATTTGGTGAGTCATTTCATATGATGCATGATAATATGTGTATCATAATCAGTGGTGAGGAATTGAAAATAACTTAAGAACAGACGGTGTCCTGGGGAGGTATGCACTCTGTTCAGCTGAGCACGGATGAGAAAACCTAAGCCTTCTACATTACGCAAGGGAAGAGCACTACCTGGAATAGATAACCACAGAGTAGAGATGGGCAAAAGCAATTTCTACTGATGTCTGCTCAGTTCCTCATGAATTATCCCCTAGAGCAAGAGCCTAGTAGTGAATGTCAACTCAGGGCTAGTTTGTTTTACTACAGCTACTGCTATTAATAAGCAAAGGCGGAAAACCATTTATTCCTCTTTTGTTCAAAAAGAAAACAAAACCAAAAATAAACACCTTGAACTCCTGTAACTAGGGATTTAGTTTTACAGCAACATCAACTCAGGCCCTTTCAAAGGAAGCTAAGTAGTAGTAAGATGAACTGTTCTGCCAATTACAATAGCAACAGCATTGTCCCAGCTTGCACTGCAACAGGGCATGATTCTCAAATGGACAAAGATCAAAGGGATGCTTAGAACCGTATATTGATTTGCGATATGGCACAGAATGAAAGGGGCACCTCTCCCAGGCTTCTGCTTTTTTATGGCAAATGTAATATTTAGTAAGCACTCAGCAGTCAGGAGTGCCTAGAGAGAAAACACTCCACTTTATTGAAAGAATTTCAGGCGGCCTTCAATATCTCTTACCATACAGGCCAATTTTTTACTTTTTTTTGTATATCATCCATCTTTAACAGAGACAAAACCATACTGCCCAGCTTTGCTTCTGCTTATATTTAATGTAATTTCCTTGTCCTTGTGCTGGGTAAGCACTGGTATGTCACACAGCAAAGGAGTGAATAGTTAAATGTGAATGATATCGCTAATCCTAAATGTGCAAAAATTAGGCAATCAAAAACATGGAATTTATTAAAGTAATACATTTTGGTGGGGGGCGGGTTTATACACTTTCTGTTCTTTGAGCCTTGAGAACTGGCTTGAGTCATGCTTTCCAAACTTTTCAAGTTTAGGTAAAAAGTCTTATTTGGGCATGTTTTCAGGCATGTTTTAGTTGAGATACACTTTACAAGCCTAAAAAAAAAAAGTCTCCCAAAAGAAAAGGATGTTGCTTGATTGTACCATCATCATACCCCTTCCCCCTCAAGCAAATGTGTTCAACAATTCTGAAAACTTTAAAAAAAAGTCACGCCTCCCTCTTTTAGTGCAAATCACTTTATCTTAATGCCCACTTAATGTACTGTAAAAACACTGTCAGTCTTGTTTCTTTTTAAGTTAAATGGAATAGAAAGTAACACATTTAATTTGCAAAGACAGAAGTGCTTTGACACTTTGATACAAAAGCTGCAAGAATCCCCCCCTCCATTCTGCAGAATATTTAATAAAATGGGAGGAACACAAACAAACTCACTCCTTATACCTTCGGGTCCTCCTATCCACTTAGGTTGCTCTGATTACTAACCATGAAGATAACACTTACTGGATGAAAAAGAGGGAAATTATGGGTGTTTATACACGTACTGTGGGAGTGGGGGGAGGGTGCTTTAATTAGAGAGACTTTGAGAGCTGCTCTAATTAAAGCACCTGGAGCATCATATGTGTGTGCCTTTGCACTGAAATATGGTGGCAGGAGTGTTTTAACTAAAGCTCATTAAATAAGCTTTAGTTAAAGCATCCGCACTGCCATTTTTCAGTGTGGGGATGCTGATGCACATGACGCTGGAGTCTGCTGGAGTAATTACTGTGCTCCAGCAGACTCAATTAATTGAGAGTTTTCCCAAGCACTGTAATTACAGCATGTTGGAGCAGCCTCTCTGCATGTATATAGGCACCCTGAGTACATTCCTTCAAAGCCAACAGACATGTGGCATGAAGGATTCTCTTCTAACCAATCCCCTACAACTCCATAACCATTAAATGCAGAAAAGGTAAGAGAAGCTCTTCTACAGGTAACAAAATAGAGGTAAAAATACTAGGAAAAGTCATTTTTCCATCTCCTATAACAACGGGGGCCACACGTCTTGGCAGATGTGCAAAAATTAAGCCCCAACACTCTCCCAAAGTGCTACTATCATCTGCTTCCCTTAAGTGATCTGCAGCTGAAGTTCTGTGAAACTTGATTAAAACAGTCCTTGGTTTAAAATGGAAATATTTTAGAAACAGATATTCATTATAAGTTTTCACATTTTACTGATTGTTCCTCATTTCCCTATTAGGCAAAGAACAAAATTTCCCAAACTTGGTGACTAGTTTTGATTATCCAATTTGAGTTCCCCTGGGAATGATTCTCAGAAGTGATGACAATCTGATGGTTTCATTTACTTAGGGTAATGGGTACTCTGAATTTTTGGGAAAAAATTATCAGGCGTATGATGTCTCATCTTTAGCACTCAAAAACCAATCCCCATTAAAAAAAAAGGTTTATCAAAGTACATTGCATATACTTTACACATCATGAGAGTCTCGAATTGGACAGAAAGCAATATTAAGGTCTAGTAACAAAAGAAAAGAATTTCTTACTTAACATTTTCTCTACCTACAATCTCAAACTTCTTCTGTTACTCAGATATATATCCTGATAAAATTACCCTATGAAAAAACTGTCACAAGGCAAGCACTATCTAATTCTTAAGATGTATTGCAATAAATATTAATTAGGAATCAATCATGTTTAACTCAAAGAACTGTTTGGAAATTTTCCTTCCCATGCTTAGAACGATGGCTTCAAGCAAAATATTTATATATTAAACATTTGTTGTAGTTTGCTATAGGAACTGGATGTGGCTGCAAAGCTTATAACTCAAATGTAGCTGGTTGTGTCCCCCTAGAGCATAGTACCCGGAGCTATTAAAATTAACTATGCTATGCCCTTTTTGAAAGAAAAGTCTAGGAGAAAAGAAAAAATTATATATAAAATGAATCAAATTTATATACTGAGTTTGACTGAGCTAGGTTTTAAAATTGAAATACTATAGGCCATTTGGAATGAAAGTGCCAAGTGGGTTATAAAGCTTTTCTTCAACTTCATTGGGAAAAACATCCTTTGGTTTATTTCTAAGAACTGTTTGGGCGCCTCATGACTGATTGTACATGCTGGGCCAAAATCTTCCCTATTACATTCCACTGACTAGAAAGTGGGGTTGTGCTA